AAAAAGTTAAGTTCTCCAAGATCCTTCATGTCGAATTCCTGGAATAGCTTGCCTTTTAGTGTAGCCATCTCTTCTATGTCACTACCAGTAATTATCATGTCATCCACATAGATAATCAAACATGTTATGAGCTTGCCTCGCCTTTTTAAAAACAAGGTATGATCAGAGTTGCTTTGACGATATCCATATTTCTTCATGGCTATCGTGAATCTGCCAAACCATGCACGTGGAGATTGTTTTAGACCATATAAAGCTTTTCTCAATCTACAACCTTCGCCTTTTCTGAAATCTGATGAGAACCCAGGTGGTGCTTCCATGTAAACTTCATCTTTTAGTTCTCCATGGAGAAAAGCATTCTTCACATCAAACTGATATAAGGGCCAATCTAGATTAGCTGCTAAGGAGAATAATACTCAGATAGTATCAATTTTGGCTACTGGTGAGAAAGTCTCAGAGTAGTCAATACCATAAGTTTGAGTATATCCTTTAGCTACTAATCTAGCCTTATATCTCTCGATTGTACCATCTGCTTTGTGTTTGACTGTAAATACCCATCGGCATCCGACAGGTTTCTTTCCTGGGCATAGTTGGCATTTCTCCCAAGTGTTGTTTTTCTCTAGTGCCTTCATCTCCTCCTCCATTGCTTTTCTCCATTCTGGTATTTGTATGGCTTCATCTACTGTTCTAGGAACTTCATGGCTGGATGTATGAAAAACCTGTGATACACTCCCCTTGACTAGATCAGCAACAGGATATCTTGAGTTCCGGGGGATGTATTCTGGTTCATATCTGACTGGAGGAATTCCCCGATTCTTCCGTGGTGGGAGAACATATCTGTTTGACATATTCAATTCTTCCACACTATCATTAGATTTATCAATGCCATCATCATGGGTGGGAGAAATACTAACCTCAGGAGTCTTTTCAAACGAAGTAGAATCAGACATGAGATCTGAGTTGTTGGACTGTTCAATGTTCTCAAAAATTGATCCGACAGAGCGACTTACTTCCTCGGTTGGGACAGTTTCAGGTGGCAAGACTGAGCTATGTACTGGTGGCAAGACTGGGCTGTGTAACCACTCTAGAGAGTCATTCGTGACTTTCTCCCCCTGACTACTAGAGTGGTTATGGAAGTAGTACTGAGTTTCCAAAAAATTACAATCCATTGTCGTGTACATCCGACGAGGAATAGGATCATAACATCTGTATCCCCTTTTGTGAATCCCATACCCAACAAAGACACATCGGACGGCACAAGGATCAAATTTTGTTCGTTTGGCTTTTGGAATATGTACATATACAGTGCAACCAAACACACGAGGAGTGAGAGTCAAGGACGTAGGAACAGTGGAGAATTTTGCAAGTGTATCAATGGGTGTTTTGTGATTTAGGATTTTTTTCGGAAGGCGATTTATGAGGTAAATGGTGGTTGCAATTGCTTCGGGCCAATAACAAATCGGAACATTGGACTCGATCATAAGAGCCCTAGTGATTTCGAGTATAATCCGATTCTTACGTTCAGCAACGCCATTTTGTTGAGGGGTGTCAGGACAAGTGGTTTGATGGATAAGACCTTTTTCCTTACAGAAATTTTCCATGGGATGATTTATGTATTCTCCTCCATTATCAGATCGAAGAATACATATCTGTTTTTGGTATTGTGTGTGGATCAATTTATAGAATGATGTGAACTTTTCAAAAACTTCAGATTTGTGTTTAAGAAAGTACACCCAGGTCATACGGGTACAATCATCAATAAACA